CTAGATTTTTTCTAGTGGTGTTCCACCAACAGGTGTCATGGTCTCCCAGTCCTCCTGTTCCAGTTCACCCATTTCTCTCTTTTGCTCTCTCTCTCTCTCTTATATCAGTATGTGTGTTTTTCAAACTTGTCTGGCACTTTATGCAATGAGACCTGATGCGATGTTGTGCCAAAGACATTTTTCCTTTTTAGAAGATGAGCTCTATAAATTCTCTATATGCTCCTTGAGTTTGTATGTTACTTTTATCTGTTTATTCATTCATTTCTACACAAAATGTGTAGTATGACAATGTCTAAGCTGACAGGCAAGAAAATAAAAAAATTGAAGATAGGAGAAAATAGTAGAAAATATTAAAAAAAAAAGGAAAGAGCACTAATACAAAAGCATGATGTATCGCTAACTGCTGTACCTGTAAGAAAAAAACAGAGAAAGAAAGAAAGAAAGAAAAAACATACAGCACCTTCAACAGAAAAATATGAGCACAGGAACACAGATCAACAATCAATTGATAATAAAGGTGGCAAGCCAAGGAAGGATACAGGAGATTCAAGGCATCCACAGTCCCCAAGGGTACCTGAAGACCTGAGCCCACACATCTCAGAGGCAAGAGAAGAAGGGAGGCTCCACATGGCCCACGGTCCAAAAGGGCAAGCGTCCCAGTGAGCCAGACGCAATAGGCAATCCCACCAGAGGCTAGCCAACCTGACGAGGGCCAAGGGCAGGGGCCCAAGGCCCAAACTGGGAGCTGATTCAACAGAAGAGGGCCTGAAAGCTGAAGGCTCTGCCTCCCACACTACTTTTAAATACAATAGGAACCACAAGCAAGCCAGCAGCCTGAGAGTGAAGTGCTCTCATGACAGACACTAGGACAATGCTTCGTGGGCTGCCTCTGTTGACCGACATGCCGAGCCTCCGACAGCGTGCAGTGATGCCTTGGTGTTCGGGTCCCCCACCCGAGCCGGAGATTGATGGTGAGCCAGAGGTGGACTACTACAGGAGGCTGAGGGAGCGGCTGCGGGTGGTTCATAACTACACCTGCCAGGCCTAGGCCGGCGCCGGAGTACGACAGAAGAGGGCCTACGATATCAGGTGCCAGTGGGGGAGCTTTTGTGCTTGGTGACAAGGTTTGGGTGTACTGCCCTGTCCTTAAGAGAGGAGTGTCCTCCAAGCTCTGCAGTCACTGGCAGGGGCCGGCGGAGGTCGTGGAGCGACCTCCAGAAGTGGTGTACAGGATCCACATGCTGGGCCCGAGGGGTATGGTGGTGTGGCATCAGGACAGACTCTCACCGTACCGACCGCTCGCTCAACAGTCGCCAGGGCAGGGGATGCTAGTGGCACCCCATGTTCTGATCTGAGTGACTCTTCCCCTGCCGGTTGAGATCGGCCGGTGCGCCGAAAGATGACACCGGGACATTTGCAGGACTTTGTGTTGGGTAATGGGGTTGTCGGGGATGACTGACCCCTTAGGTGGGGGCTATGTAGCGGGTCAGGGCTGTTTGGGTTTTATTTGGCAGCTGTATTCTGTTGTTTCAGGCGGCAGCGTTATGTTCCCATGGTTACCACGTGACGCGCTCTCTCTGCGACCATGTTTTTCTGTGTGGGGTGAGAGAGTGCTGTTGTGTTGTTGTTGTTGAATGCTAATAAACGGCTCCCTGGCTAACTCGGGGGAAGCAAGACAAAACGACGCCTCTCTCTCCTCCTTGTCTGAGCAATATGGTTTGGTTAAAGATATTTTGGTTAAACCTTTTGCCTCTTCACCAGGTAAGTCTACCTGTCTTGTAAGCAGCCCAAAAACAAATATCAGAGGTGAAAAAGACAAGTCTATTAATATCTTTCCCCCAGTAGGACATGCCCAGAATACCTCACCCAGGACAAACCTAGGAGGCATCCTAGTCAGATGCTCAAACTGCCTCGACTGGCTCCTTTTGATGTGGAGGACTAGTGGCTCTCTTCTGTGCCCATTTGAATGACTGTACTCTTCATCCTATCACTGTTAGAGAAAGGTCTCACTAGTTTGTAAATGTTCCCTTTCACTCTTTTTGCAATCCCTCTGACAATTTTCCCCAACACTTGTCTCTTGCACTCTTCTCTATCAGGCTGAGCCTGAGCCATCTGCCACGACTGATTGGGGATGAGGGTTGGGTAATCTGAATACATAATTTCCTTAGGGATTATTAAAGTATTCTGATTCTGATCTGTCTTGCTACCTACTAGATTTCCCTTCTCTGCAGTGCATACTTTTTCCATTTCCAAATTCTCTGCCACCTGGGCCACCTCTCTACAGATCACAATGTTGTATGCAAGCATCGAAGTCTACAGGGACCGATGCCTAACCTCATCTGTCACCCTATTTTTCACCACTGAAAACAAGAACAGGTTTAGAAACAGTTCCTAATGCAATCCAGCAGCTGTTACTTTGTTCCATTAAGTCATAAGAATGTAATCTGCAAGAGCACTCCCTAATGACATCAGCACATTATACTACATTGCATAAATGTCACTATCTAAAGACAATGTTGGTATCATTGATAATTAATTGTCTTTGACATACTTAACTGTTTTAACATAAGAACAAGGTAAGTATGCGGTAATACAACCTCATGGTTTTATTAATAAGCTTCATCCAAATGCAACTAAGCTCATTTGATATTAACCTGTTATGGAAACCCACCAAACAAGAGACCTTCTGGGGATGCAGCTGAGTTACGTTTAATTAAATAAGAAAAAAAAACAGTCTGGAGAAAATATTGTTGGTTTCAATTCAATTCAATTTTATTTATATAGCGCCAAATCACAACAAAAGTTGCCTCAAGGCGGTTAATTGATGGGTTAATTTTAGTTTGCTCACTGCTAACCTTAATATCACCGAGAATACTTAAATATCTTAAATGTTACAGTTGGCTCATGCTTCATTCAGCTGTGTTAATGTAAAAAGTGTCATTTTTAATGACACCACTGAATTTCCCGGAGGAACCGCACCTGAGGGATTAATAAAGTAATCCCTAATTTAACAGTGTTTAAGTGCTCACCAGTTGGTCTGATGGTGTATGTGGTGTGTCGTCGTCAATTCTGCTTCCCAGTTTCTGGGGGAAAACACTCTGGAATTGCTAATGGTTGTGAGGCGGTCCTTCTCCTTCAGCCATTAAGTCCTGGGAGTTGATCTACGATGAGAATACAGAGGCTGTGAGTGCTGCAGGTAAGTGTAATGGGTTTTTATGCATGTAGATATTTTCAGGCATATGATACTAGGCAAAGAAAATGAAACATTGGAAAACTTTACTTGTTTTATGCTAAGAGATGTGCTAAGAGACAACTTCGTTATTAATACGCCTGTAAAAGCAGTCTTTTATGTAACGTTTGTCCGGTGAACATGACGTCAGTAAAAGGGGTGGGGACGAGGAGGTAAAAGTGAGTGCTGTCGTTTGTACGCACAGGTGATTTTCAGTCTTGTTTCGCATTGCGTCGGGTGAGAAAATGGGAAAGCTTCAGGAGTTTAAGATTGCCTTTGAGAAAAACAAAGAAGTGTACAGTCCGGGAGAGTCCATCTCTGGAACCGTGACAGTAAAACTGGGCCAACAGCTGCAGTGTAAAGGTAAGAGCCATCTGCGCTCAGCAGGTGGGAAAACGTCGACCTCGAGAAACGAGGAAGTGGGGTGATTTGGTAACGAGTCGTAATTCCTACACTGTTCCCACGCCTGGTTTTAGAAATAACTTCTCCTATTTGAAGATCACTCAGAGGTTGAAAAGCCATCCTGTGGTGTTCTGTGTTTGTGGTTCTAAAACTTGCATATGATTTTTCATTGGCCGTTTACCGCGGTGTAGCTCTGCACACTGATTCAATGGAAAATGTTTAATGAGGCCTAATGGGAAATTTGTGTTTTGTAACACAGACTCAGTGTTTTATCCCAAACTGTCCAAAACACAAATTGACGGTCTTTCATTAAATTACAGCAAAATACCTGTATTTTGGACTATGTAAATATTCTGTTTTGATAGTTTATAATTTGTTTACCATGATTCCTAGTTCAACTCCTCAGTCCTGCTCAGCTTTATAAGCATAGATTTCCTACTGTTTTTATGTTACGTGTAGATTAAGTTTAGTTAAAAGTTGAAAGATTAGCTCAGAAAATGAGTTTATATTATACATTATTGCAGCACTGTATTCTATACACCTCTCTTTACCTACCCGACATTCATATTCAATCTAAAATGACTAATTAACCTAACATGCTTGGCTTTGGTGAAAACTAACTTGAGGAAACCCACACAGGCATCAGTCCCCAAAGAAAAGCACCAGCCAGGATTTTAACCAGGGACATTTTTGTGAGGCGACTGTACTAAATACTCTATCACTTTGCTGCCTTATTCCAGTTTTGGCTCTGTGTCAAGGCCCCCCTCTCTGAAGGGACCCTCTAAAGCATAGGTGTCAAACTCTGGCCCGCGGGCCAAATTTGGCCACAGCCTAATTACATTTGGCCCGCGAAGCCATACCAAATTACTATCAGAGCTGGCCTACTGGTATTATACAGCTAATATATATATTGTTTAGTATTAAGCTTTGCTTGTTCCATATTCAGTTTTTCAGCAAAACGTGTTTGAGTCCATAAGAAAAGATTAATTCTTATATCTGGAGGAATAAATATATTTCAGTAAATATTAATGTTAGCCTGCGACTTTGTTCCAGTTTTGAATTTTGGCCCACTGTGTATTTGAGTTTGACACCCCTGCTCTAAAGTAATGTACTGGCGTTGAGCAGTGTCTAATTGGTTCTGCTGTTTTATTTATTTTGTAGTGTTGTACAGTCAGACTGTACATTTAAACATACTTAAGACTGTCATCAAGAGACCAAAATGAAACTTGAAACAGGAAAAGTGAGTGTCATTGTCCAGATTGCTGTAAAAGCAACATCTCATCCATCTGAATGCACTTATTCATTCTTCTTATTTGAGATATTTAACATCTCAAAGGTTCTGCTGTGTCAACAAGGACAATAAAAGGTAACACATTTGAATGCAGATTGCAAGGGAACGGTTTCTTCTACTCTTTGTAGCTCTCAACCTGCTGAGTGGCGTCTTTGTGTTTTGTTACTTTGAATGCTTGCGAGGCCTCTGGTCTGTTTACATTCCTCTTCAGGTAAAGCTGGTCGGACTGTCGGCTCAAGATCTCTTATGCTACATGCTACAGTTTCACCGTTTAAAATACTAATGGTATATTAAACTATTTTAAGTACTGTGATGAGACGCGCCACTGAAAAATATTAACACTGCAATAAAAATCTTAGTTTCACTCACCACTATTCACTTAAACAGCCAGTTTATTGAAGAACCTACAAACAACTTTTCATATGTTTTGTTCTGTTTTGGGATTTCTTGAGACTGGTAAAGGTTGTGTTTAATATTCTAAACGTTTTTGGCGCTCTTCATTCTGTTCATGTGATGCCGTCATTGTAGCAGTGTGCCCCTGGACAGCAAAGCAAAGCTTTCTTCTATTGCTGTTAACTCAAATGTGTTACTGAGAACATTTTGAACATTTTTATGTGACTTAAAATTGGGAATATAACAACATGTATTTGGACCACAGACTGTATTGAAAAGATGGACATTCTTACCTTGATGTCAACCATTTAATTTCTGGACAACCATTACCACATTGTAGGTCCTGGACATTATTAGCAAGGATTATTGTTGCTGGTATGTTCTTTCAGAGGTAGATGTGCCTTTATTTTGAGCATATGCTGAAACACGTGAAATTTAATTGGCTTTCAGTAATAGACACCATAACTCAATTCTAAAAATTTAACCACAAAAGCTGAAGCACAAACGTCTTGGTAAGTCATTATTTTAACAAACCATATTACTTGTTAGATAATTTTTCAATCGAGATGGTTCTCCAAAGGCACCAACAGCACAAAATGGCTTAAATAAGTAATGATGTATGAACAAAATGGAAACAAATTTGGCTAACATTGTAGCTGTAAAGCTGGGGTATTTTTTATGTTCATAGAATGTAGGACCTGGATTTTATGTAATGGTTACCTTTGTTTCTGTTAATGAAGGATTACATTAAAACAGTAATAAAGCATTCAGACTAGTTGAATAACCTTCAGACTTTGACCAACAGTAGACTGTAGGAACAATACAATGTTGTGGAATATTTGGCTGCCTTTAACACTTTCCTAATCTGGTGAAAATCTGGTTCAAGCATTTTATGGTTTTCAGTATAAAGTCAAGCTTTCTTTATACTTTTGACCAGTAATTTGTTTTTGGTCTGTTTTTGTTACAAAACATTAGCTGGCTTAGGCTATTTCCCAAATCAAATAATGCATCCTAAACTCTCCTGAAGGGTGTTTATTACAGGTCTTTTGCACATATTGATGTTGTATAAATCTGGAGCAATATGCCATTAAACAGACCAATAACACACCCTTGAGGAAAAGACTGATTACAAAAAGTGTTTCCTGCTGTGGCTGCTACGAATCGTCTGTAGTTAAACTTGTGTATTTTCTTATCTGCAGCTATCAAAGTGAACTGCAATGGTTTCTGTGGCATCACCAATAAGTTCAATGACACAGCATGGACGATGGAGGAGCAGTACTTCAACAGCACGATCTCAGTGGCAGACAAAGGTGTGCTTCCAAACGCTAATTAAAACCGTGTGCAAATGTCCAGTGTCCACAAAACACTTCCTTGTGAGATGGTTTGTTGTGATAATTGAGACAAATTTGCAAATGGAACTGGTTCATGTGACAATATGTGAAGATTACAACTTCTCATTTTCCACTGCAGCCTTGAGGCATATCTGACTGTTTGGAAACAACAGAGCAACTGTTACTGTTTCCATCAAAGGATTTTATTTGTGCTTTGTGTCCCAAATAGGTACCCTGAAAGAGGGAATGCACACATTTCCCTTCAAGTTTCTCATACCAGGTAGGTGAAGTTGATGGGATATTTTTGCATGTGTTTATTTTCCCCTTGCATTTCCTGTCTGTCAGACATGTTCTGGCATGTTGTGAGGATGGGACTGGTTTTCTTTTCCTCCCAAAATGTTAAAAATATATGTGTGTACACACACACACACACACACACACACACACAATATGCATGCTTTTGTTGTCTCGTCAGTTCGCCTCAACATACGCTTGTCATATTCTGTGATATGATTTACTCGGAGGTGTTTGACGAGGTTAGTGGTGTTGCCACAGCACCTCACTTTCTTGCCACATGTATCATCATCGCGTCTTGGCTGTTTGTGGAGGTAAAATACGTCCACACATGACTTTGTTTACGCTCAGCCATTGTGAGTGCGCACGCCAGAGGCTGCGACACATTTATTCCGCCGTATTTCACATATGACTGTGAAATGCGTAAGAGGAGGTAGTTCCTTCCAATTTAGATAATCCCAATGATGTAGTTTCTTTCCACTGTGTTCCTGTTAATAAAAAAACTACAAATTTACCCCGAAGTACTAAAATTGTGATATTTTAATATGAGAATCGATTTTCGAGCATAAATTACTGGTAATGGAAGAATCGATATTTCAATATCAATCCGCACACCGCTAGTGAAGGGTTATTTCTCATGATGGTTGGGGTGGTTTTAGTTTAACCTCCAGATAAAGTGGTTAAGAGATCAAATTGATTCTTTGTTTACAACCTGCTCAGAAATTTGTTCCTTTTATTAGCTTTTCTTCTTCTGTTTTTACATTTTTGCCTGACTATTTGATCTTCAGCAAGGCTTTGGGTTGTTCATTTTTCAGTGTTGTGTTGAAAAACAACAGTGTAGTCGTGAGTCTTGACTGCGTCACTGACATAGGTATGCTGGGCAGCACTGACGCTGTGAGATAAGGTCACTCTAAATCTTTGGCGCTGTCAGAATTTTGTCCATCAGTAGTGATAAGGCAATTGCAACAGTTCTCGTTTTGGGGCCACCACAACAGATAATTTGGCCCTTATAACCTGCCATCAGTCAACTTTTCTCTGGAACGGGCCACAATTGCAGAGCGTATACATGAGTTGAATGAGGTGCCATGATGGTGTCTAACTAAGAAGAGACTGGTGGATGCTTTCCACTACCATCCCTGTAATGGTTACTGTGACGTCAGCAGTATACAGTGTGTTCCACTGACTCATAACAATGCAATCTTTGAGAGAACTCCCTTATTACACCATTAATTGTTATGGACTCTTAAGATAACTGTGCATAAAGATGACGAGACAGTTGAATAATGAGGAAATATTTTAGTATCACCATTTGAAGACTTGTTAACTTTTTATTCTGTGCCAAAACTGTTGCCTGAAATAAAATCCTTGACTTCCTTTCTATACATTGTCTTGATTTGTTTTGGCTGTCACACAATAGAACACAGGCAACAGTGTTTAGTCATTGTGTAGGTGCAAGATGACATGCAGACAAGACAAGAAGCCTTTTATGTAATGTAGCTAGGATCACAGAAACTCAGAACCAGTCAAGCCAGTTTTTGTGGATCTGATATGAATCATTAAGCTTGTTTGCTTTCACTCCTAGAGTGCTGGCAGGTGCCTACGAAGTTTTTGTTTGTTTGTTTTTGGTTTGTTTCTGTATTTGTCAAGATTTGGAAGGTTAATAAAGAGAAGAGCTCTATACTTTATAAATTAATATCATAGTGTCAAAACTCAGCAGCTGTTTTGGAATTAATCTGGATGGATTATAGCTTTAAATTCAGTTCAGCGGCTCGGACATAAAAACATTGTGTCAGACAAATCCAGTGAAAGCTATTTCAAATGTTGGTGCCCCAAAATAGGTAGTTAGTTTTTTCCCTGCATGTTATGCTACTACCAATATTACTGTTCATGCACACAGTATCAGAACTATACAGCTTCATTAAAGGACTGGAGTTAGTGTTGACTGAAACCATTCTTATACTACTTTATAGACACAAACACAAACAGAAGGCGGAGTGGTTACATTTTTACAATGTTTTAAAGCACAGCTGTACATGTAGGTTAATTAAACGCAGCACAAAATACAATTACTTTGTTCTGAGGTATCTGTATTTTACCTGAGTATTTATTCTCACAATGTTTTCTTTTGGTCCCTACATTCTTCAACAAGTCTTTATAGTCTTCATGTTCAATAAGTGTGTTACTTGAGGGTTAACACATTTTAGAGGAGTTACTCAAACATCTCTTCCAGACATTAAAAGGATTTAAATCTAAAATGACAGATCACTAATATTGTGGCCGCCTGAGGAAAAAATATCCCTGCTCCTGGGTGCTCTTCACTCTTTCTGCAAAAACTGTAACTCTTTTAAAAACAACTGTAGTTCACGCTACTGTATAACTACAAACTAACACAGTTTACTTCTTCCCCACAGCCACTGCTCCAACGTCTTTTGAAGGCATCTATGGAAGGATCATTTACAGAGTGAGGGCTTTTATTGACACACCACGATTTTCCAAGGACTACACCACAGAGAAAGCTTTCTTCCTGCTAAGCCTTCTGAACCTGAATGAAGTGCCAGATATATGGGTGAGACATTATAGCTGTATGTCTGTATTCAGTCCCTGAATGGTTGGTCCTAAACACTGAGTTAATTAGTTTTCAGAGTTCAAACACACAACAGCCAAGTTTTTTTG